TTAAGCACAAAGAAATTTGTTTGCAGTGCTGTGTTCACTATTAACTGTGTGAAACTATCAAAAGATGATTACGACGTGGGCCAGAGTAAGTGTTATATCAATACATATGCATTATTTTGTAAAATGCAATATCACGAAACAAATTATTTACCATTTACATGTTTACGGATACAATATTAAAAGCAATCATTGCACAACGCTATTAACATTTTTAAGATAACTAACTTTTCTTTTTATAATCATCTTATCTGCTTTCAATTTCTTTCGTCTCTATTACAAAACGATGGCATATGTAATGCATTACATGTATATATATATATATATATATATATAATTGTGATCTGTAAATGAAAATGCATTAATCTTTGATGCTAAGAAAAAAAAAACTGCATACTGCATACTGCATACGTCGTCTTTCAAGCTAATGAAGAAAAGCAAAGTGCAAAAGATGTTATTGAATTGATGAACTTTTATATAATTTTGTTCGAATAAAATAAAATAAGAAAAATAAAGAAAAACGTATTGATTAATGATAAATTTTTCTTTTGTTTTTCTCCTTTTCTTTTTTCCATTTTTCTCTAATATTTTAATTAACTACATAACGATTTGTGTTTGTCTTTATAATAATAAAGATATAGAGATAAAGAAATTTAATTTAAGCGATTACATCGTTTTTATGGTTTAAAAATTTCAGTTCAAAAACACATCATTTTACAATATTCGCAATTAAAGGAATTAGGAAAGGAATTTAGAAGACAGATAAGCTATAAAAAGTTAGAATTAAAAGTAAAAACCCATTAACATCAACTGATCAGAAATCATCATACGCATCAAGCAAATAAACGTAAAGTCACGATGTCATCTTCTCGGGCCTGTTACATGTAACTTTGAATTATTTCGATATCTGCCGATATGATATAAGGAATATTCTTTTTGTAACCCTTTTTGCCTTCTATTTACTTGGTGAGCAGATCACACTTATGTACAAAATTTCATCTATGACGCCGAAGTGTGTAACTTCCAATTTTCCAGCCGGTGCTGGACGGATGGACAGACATACCTTAAGCAATTATTTACTCTCATGAAGTGATAGGTGTTTGGGAAGAAACCTCTTCATCCTTTGACTATAATTATAACAAAGCAAAGTGTTGTACATGTGGAGTCCAGGGGATGTTTATAAAAACGAGAAACAAATTTTAGAGTAAGAAGAAGTGTTTGATGCCACAAACAAATGTTTTACATTGCTGTAAAATCGATTGGTTCTTCCAGATAATGCTGATGGAAAACTTGGATAGCTTTAATAACTGCGTTAAGATTATTATTGCAGGCGTGACATGAATTTCTTTATAAAAATGGGGAAAAAACTAATTCTTGAATATTTTTTTAAGAAAATCAAATTTTCACTAATTAAATATGAATAACAAAAAGTTTTACTTTCCAAACGACTTTTACTGGATTTAATGATGAGAGAGACCGCCTTAGTTGCCGGAGGTAAGAAATCTCGATTAGCATCTCAATGGTCGTGGATTCGAATCTCAAGTGCGGTCGAGTTTTTAATAAAAGCCGATAGCCTTGCGTGCTAGTGCTTTAAGTGCTCATTTAATCTTAGAATTTATTTCTCTGGCGAAATTAATGATAATAATAATAATAATAATAATAATAACAATAATAATTATGAGGCAGCACTAAGATTGATTACTGTGTGGAAATGGATTTAATTCTCTTCTTTTTTGGAGAACTTTGTGTAGCACATAAGAAATGAACATAGACATGATCTGACATTTTGATCATTCTTCATGCATCTTCACCTCTACCTTAAGTATATCTAGGGATTATTGAAACAAGCAGCAACAATGCTATGTCAAGAAGAACCTTTTTAGAGGTCATTCTTTATACATATATATTAGCCGTAAAGCGAAGTGGGTTCGACTGCTTTGGAAAATCCATGAGTAAGATTTTTTATAGTTTCTCTTCCCCCTGAACTATTACTTTTTTTTTTTTTAGTATTTTTTTCTCTAATCATAAAGCATCAAATTTCCTCTTGTGACTTTTTACTGCAAAAAGTATCTAATCTAAGATTTCTTTACGCTTTGCTAAAATCAAAAGTTTAATACGAAATGCATTCTAAGCTAAGCCATTATGTGATAATATGAAATTAATAATCTTCAGGCCCTTTTAAAGTGTTTGCTCAAGGCTTAGGTAATATAATAATAATGCTATGCACAGTTTAATGAACTTACTTAACTAACTATGAATTGCATATAATGATATTAAATTCAAGATCATCCGATTTCACTGACGCTTCATACAACTCGCTACAAGAAAAGAGATTATTTACTATGAATATATTAAAAAAAAAAAGAAGAAACCCTCATATAATGCTTTGAAATGCAAATCATTTTGCATTAAACTTATAGTCAGTCAAACTATACTTTTTTAGCTTATTATTACTTAGATAATATTAAAGCAAATTGTTTGTTAAAAGTTTTCGAGCTCTTCGCAAAACTATTATTATTCCAAAAATTATGTTTTCATAAATATCTTCACGGTTTTCTCAACTCTACTATAGCTACAGATACAACCTACACCTGGGAGCATATGTCTATATATTAATAAAAAAAAATGTGTAGAAACGTGTGTAATTATCGCTTTTTATCCCCTTTATGCTAGATTCGTTTTTTATCCTTTTCTTTTGTCCTTTTGATAACGGACTGACGTCATTTTTATAATCAACGCCTAATACGTTAAGTCATAAACTCGCAACTTTCATGTGAGAGGAGGATTCCTGTATGTCAAACGTTCTTTTTGGACTTGTTTTGTTTTCAAAATGATCAATACAGTTACTAGATAGTCGGAGAACTATTGAAATCCCGGATAGGATAGATATTTGCGCGACATATTTTATATTGATATTTGTTTTCCGTGCTTTGTGAACTTATCTACCATCACGTAGACATAATCTTCATTAGAAGGCAACACAATCTTCATGAAAATATTTACCTTGTCTAAGTCTATCTATATAATAAGGTGTCAGTTTTTCAGTCGATTCGATCTTGAGAAAATCAAGCGAAGAAGAATTTCAGTATTCAAGACTATCTATCTGATAAACTGCCTTCCAGTGTTCCAGTCGATTCGATCTTGAGAAATGCAAACTAAGAATGTGTGGACTAAATTTCAGTAATCAAGACTATCTATCTGATAAAGTGTCAGTTTTTCAGTCGATTCGATCTTGAGAAATGCAGGCTAAGAGAATATGGGCAAAATTTAATTTTTATTTATTATATGAATTGCTTCAAGTAATGGCCGAGCGAATGGGTATATTAGAGGTTTTTTAAGCCTAATGTTCGACACGACAAATATAGTGAACATATCTCATCGATGCGAAATATTTGGAAACTAAATATGATCAGCGAATGCTTAAGATGTTCGCCCGTACGGAAACATTTTTGCCGAATATTCTCCGGGAGAGATAAGAAATTTATATGAGAGTTATTTTCTTTAAGAATGATTTTTGATTCCTAAAGTTCGATGGTCCCGACATATATAGATATGATATCAATTATAGGAGAAATTTCTTTTAACTAACGTATTTCAAGTGTGAAAGAAAATCAGTTATTACCCAACTAGAAAGCTACTGGAATTATTTTTATTTTTCCTGCAAATGTTTATGACAATTGCACCCTTTCGAATAACACGACGTAAATAAGGGATAACCATCGTTTCTAGTAATTTCATATAAAAAAAAAAAAAAAATAGAAAAATATAAGCCTAAGTTTTCATCTAAAATTATTATCATTGTAATATATAAAGAGTAGAGTTTTTAATAAAGCCGATGCTAGTGCTTGAAGACTTTTACGTCTTAGAATTTATTCCCTGGTTAAATTTATAATAATAATAATAATAATATATATTTTTTCTTATGTTAATATAATGCATTCAAAATTCATTAAAGGGGGAGCTTAGAGCTTAGTGTGCAAGTCTATCAAGCCTATCGGACGATCGTAAAGCAACTGTTGTTCCTATCTTGGGAAAACTCAAAAACAATCTTTTGTGTGACAGTTTCTCTAAGAGTTTGGACTTGAGAACAACAACTGCAAAAAAACGCACCAAGTCTTGCATTTGCATTCATTTGATATTAAATGAATATAAATGGGTTCGCTCATCAAACCTGCGCTGCATCTTTGCCAGGTAGCTATTAAAAGTCACGCTCATTGAAAAACAAAATAAATCTTGGAAGGGGAAAATTAAATACATTTTTTGTAAGAACAACATGAAACTTGAAAGTTTATTAGAGTAAAGTAAAATCAAATTAATCAAGCAAGCCCCCAAGCCTGTCTATCATAAGAGAAGGCACGAAGTGGACATGACTTTCTCACTTGTTTTTATCCATTCAGTGACTACATTTACAAAAGAAAAAAAACCTATTTTCATGAAATCAATTAAAATCCAGTTATTCGACATGATGTTGTTTGCAGTAACAACAAAAAAAAATTTCACATTCCAGAAAGTTGTAGAAAAACTCAACAGATACATATTGAAATTTATTCAAAAATTTGTTAAATAAAAAAAAAAATCTTTCATTTTCTTTCAATTCAACTTTAATTAAATATATTAAACCAACAACAAAGGAAAAAATGTTTTTTTTATATAATTTTTATTTCTATTTTCATTTTCATTTTGTTGTTGTTGTTATTATTATTGTTGTTGTTGTAATTTTATTTTTAAAAATTAAATGCAATTTCTCTTTGATCAAATCACTTAAATGTTCAATTAAAAACACTTTTCTCTAGCACAAGCCCATATATAAGATAATATAGAGAGATAATGCATATATAATATCCTCCTGCTCTCAAGTCAATTTAGGTAATTGTTCACTTTTTGACACTTTGTTATTTGATTTTCATTTATTTGCAAAATGTTTTTTTCCTTTTTTTTTTTTCTTTTTTTTTCTTTTTTCTGATATTTAGTTGTTTCGTCTTTAATTCTAGATAAATACATACCGGCTCCAAAGAGGGCAACAAACACAATAAGAAATTTGTTCATTTTTAAAATTTTAGATTTTCCAATAAAATAAACAATTAATTTGATGCTCGTTGTTGGTTGTTTTACAAAAAATATGAAATGAAATGAAATTGAAAGAAAATATATATATATATATATATATATATATATGTATATCCAAATTTGAAGGCAGAATATGAATGAATGATTAGATCTCTCGTCTAGATATTATTTGCGCCAACGCGAAACACTTGAACCGACTGTGTGTGGTTGGCAAACTTACATACGCTTTTTATACCGCTGCAAATGTGCGCACGCGTGCATCAGCTGTAAACAAAACAAAAAAAAACAAAAAAAAAAAAAAAAAAAAAAAAACTGACGTCGCTAACGTTTACTGTAAATATTTTTATCCCCAAACAGCGGAGCAACGGAGCAACGGAGCAACGGAGTCGATGTTATTAACATTAGCGCATTAGCGCTCGCTAAAGCGCTAAAGCGAGCGATCACAACGATACAATTGCTGTTGTGCTGTGTGTGTGTGTGTGTGTGTGTGTGTGTTAATGCAGAAAATACTTATTCACTTACGTGTACCCATACATGGGCGATTGTTTATTTTGCTATAGCACCACTATTCCTAATAGTGTGTTATACGCAAATGTAAGTGAGTAGAATAATATGTAACGTTAGAGCTATTCAAAGAGTAAATACATTCAAGTGCCGTTTAATAGGAGGAAAAGGTAACAGAGACTTGAGCTTAGCGATAATAACAGTTAATAAAAAACTCTCCCTTTTGCCTATGTGTAAAAGCTTTTATTGCTATTGTTGTTATTGGTATCACTTTTTTACTCACAAGTATTTACTCAGTGTGTACATACACATAACTCTGGCCGAACATCTATCTCTCTTTCTGCACAACATTTTTGCGGAGTGTTGATGTGATGATGATGATGACCAAGTTTGCTGTCGTGGCCAACTTCAGATAAAAATAGTACTCTAAGCGGTTATGTCGTGCACTCTTTCCAACTCTGTGTATGTTTGTGTGTGCGTGTGTGTGTGTGTGCTTGCTTACTCAAGTAATGCAGCGAACGTTAAAGCTCAGTTGACGTTCAATACACTTGAGCACTTTGCTGTTGTGCTGTTGTGACTTGGTCGGCAGATTTTAATATATTCTCTCTGTAAATGCAAATTACTTGTACATGTGCCGTCGAATGTATGTATGCAAGTGTTAGCTCTTACGCGGCAGCAAATATGTTTACGGTATTTATCATTTAGCTTTTTTTGTCGTTTTCCTTTTGTCTTTAATTTATACATTTTTAAAGGTGGGGGTTGAAATTTATTGAATTTTTTTTCTCTCCTTTAGTTTTTTTTTTTTTTATTTTTTTTTGGCATTTGATTTTCATTTCACAAAATGCCTTCATTGCGATGTTTACAAGTATGTATAGATACGTCGAGAGATGTGAGGTGATCTAGATTACAATGCTATTGATTGTTATGATAATAAGTGTAGTGTAGTGTAATATTTATTGCATACTGTTACACACTCGTACACACTCTTACATGCACATGTGACATTCTATGGTGTGTGACATTTTAGTAAGAGTTGATCATAATTAACTGAGCACAACTTAGCATACATGTGAAGATCATTTCCTTGAAATCATTTTTCATGAATTATGAATTACATCAATTCATTTAATCGAAATATTATGAAAATTATTTTGTTTTACTATTTACTTAATATAGTATTAAGCCTTGGCAAGATCAAAGTTCATATATGCAAATTTTTCTTCTTCTTCTTCTTCTTCTTCTTCTTCTTCTTCTTCTTCTTCTTCTTCTTCGTCTTCTTCAGGGCAAAGACAACCAGTAGATAAGATAATTTTGAACAATTTCCCATACAATAATGATTTTCAGATATGTATCAACTTTCATCCACAGACGAATGTGAATGAATTGCATTTGACATGGATACATATGTATATGTATGTACGAAGACAATGATATATATCCCCGATGGATAACAATAAGTTAACTTATAAATCATATTCAACGAATCTCGAGCCTTGTTACCATAAGATAAAGCAAAGAATCGCGAAATGTGTGCGCAAAAGTCGAATATTATTTAAAAAAAAAAAAAAAAAAAAAAAAATCTATTATTTATTTAACATATTCCCAATCTGATCTTTGTTGTAAGCCTAACATTTCGAATTCAATAGTCAGAAACCAGCTTCCAGTTCTTGTGCACTGTCAAACTGCACGTTAGCAGCATTCGCAAATTTCCGTTTGCATGGTGCTTGCAACTAGAAGAAGAAATTATATTGAAATTGTATTGGATCTCCTAGTAAATATCACTATGTGTTTTTGTTGTTTTTTTTTTAAACAATTAAAAATTTTACGTAATTCGTCTCAACTTCATCTAAACAATAAATGCCTTTTGTACAAGAGTATCCTTCAATCTATCGGGATCTATTGTCCCCACCATTGTGAGGAACCCCTAGCAACCTCATAAATATCTATTTAAGGCTCTTCGTTTTATTGCTAATGACTCCATGGTGCGTCAGCAGTAAAGCTATTTATGACGTGATCGCTTAACATCTTCTCATACTTGGTTAGCACGTAACTCCCTTAGTAATATCCCTTCTAGATGAAAAGGCATCATATGGTGCGTTCTCCATTATGAAATTAATTTATTTTTGCCCTTTAAATTATTTTAATGAGTTGTCTGAGTATATATTTAATTCTTTTTCTTTTACTTAAACTTCATCTCCTTATTGTTTGTTATATTGTTCGTTATTTTTTTTTTCATATTCGTATAATATTTACTTCTACTTCTTCTTCCTTTTAGACAGATTGTAAACTAAACAAATTAAAAGTAATTGAAAATAATTAGAAAAAAAAAGTCTATTAACGACATAACAAGTAAAACATACTATGTAAGCGTAAGAATCTTATGAGATGAGTTGGAATCTATCGAAAGTGAAAAAGTATGGTGGAGTTTGACAGCGCATGGTACAGTTTAGCTTGGTAGAACTATAGCCCTCTTCTTCTACAATACTTGAATTTATTTTTGATATTCTTTAGCAAAATTTTGTGTTCATAAGTAGGCAGATACTAAAAAAAAAAAAAAAAAAAATGTTAAAAACAAGTCCCTTGAGCATCTTGATATATAGTACATATGTAGTTTATGTCATTTTCGTTCCATCTATCCATGCAAAAAATTTATGACTAACGCAGTATGCCATTCAAAATTGCGTAATACAAACTATAGTAATAGTAGTTGTGCACTAATTAAGCATATGTGCATAGCAACAATAGGTACTATATGAAGCAATCGCGGCATATTCTAAACTTTGTCTCACTAATGACGCATGCATTACAATGAATATGCAATATATGCATTTTCATATTCATCAGATCAGCGTTTAACAAAACCTAGAGCACCTTTTGCTTATACTAACAACAGACTGAATATATGGTGTGAGAACCCAAAGTCGTCCTTCGGTTTGGCCTCTCGGGTTCTCCGTCTCTGGCTGGGGAGAAAGGAGTGCTAGAGAGTAAGATAGGATAAGAGTAGGATAGACATGGAGTAAGAATAGATTAAGAAAGAATAAGAATAGATTAAGATAGATTGTAGCATGGGTTTAACGTGGGTTCCTGCCATGATGGCTTAACCCCACGGTGGCCCAAGCCACTTTAAGCGTAATATACGCCCCCTGGCGAATTAGACAATCCCCAAAGAGTAGGGGCCTAAGCAGCACCAGAGTCCAGAACGGTTTACAGGTGAGGCCTAGCTGCACTCGATTGTTCCACTTTGGCCCGGAATTGTCAATCACAACCACCACGAGTACTCTCCAAATGGCCGCACCCAAGCAGTCAGGGCTCACAAATTGATCAACTCAAGATTAACTCAAGATTAAGATAGAATTGGAATAGATTAAGATAGAATAAGAATAGTATAGCCCAGATAAGCGTAGGTTAAGGATAGGTTAAGTTAGTTGAGTTTGAGTCGCCAAATAATGAAGTTCAGTTTTAGTCGTAGATTTGTCGAGACGCGTTTGAAAGGAAAGTATAACAAGAGAAATAGAAAATAAAGGTAAAGGTCCCTGCAAAATACAAATTTCTTGTGCGTTTCCATTACACTGGGCCGCTGAGCTGCCCCAGCCTTTAGGAAAGGGATGGAAACGTCCTCACAATGGATTGAAGGATTGTTTGGCGTCAAATGTTAGCTATATGTAGAAAATTTTCCTGGAGACCTCGAGTAAAGGGTAGACATTTATATACAATTATTTAGTATATTAGTTTACTATATAAAGCTGTTAATGGATTTGTTGTTGCGTTTGACGACGCAACAGATGAAAAACGGATCAGAAGAATTTTAAATCAAGTTTGTTTTCTGATTTTATCTGTTCTTCTTTTTACCTTTCTTTCATATTAAGTTAAGCTTTGTTAGTTTTCTAATCTTCTTAGTCATTCAAGCAAAATGCGACCATGTGAAATTGCAATCAAGAATAGCTAAATAAATGGACAGATATATCCTCGAACACACCCTTATAACATTGGCAACATAAATGCGAAAAGAGTAGCTCATGCACTTATTAGATAAGATGCCGGTTAGCTAAGACTAAGTTTAATGATTTGAAAATCCATTTTTCTCCATTCTATTTGTTGTTGTTATACGATTAATAGGAGTATTTTTAAACCCTTTCAATAGGCGAACAAATGTGTTTTACAGATACACTGGGTGAAGGTTTAATTCCCTGGTGACAGATAGCTCCGCGAAGTGAACACTTAAGTAGGTGAACCAATTGCTCTCCATTTCTTCCTTCTTAACGAAGTCTTTTTCTTGAAAATTATGTTTTTTATGGGCGTTGACGGTCAACATAACTCTGCCGTGAATTAAGATAAATAATATTTATTAAGACTAAGGAAAGATATTCCAAGTTGAAATAACATTTCAGGCACATCTTGTTACAGCAGTAAATTTTTTCTAAATGGCACCTGACAGAGCAAAGTTTTTTATGTGTGTGTGTGTGTGTGTGTGTGTGTCCAATTCTTTGAATAGTGAATAGAAAAATTAAATCACTATAAAATAACTTAAGTATCA